ACGAGAATCCTGTTCTCCTCTTTAGTTGCTCAATTGGAAGCAAAGGTCGCCAGTTGGTTAACACATTGGACATCATATGACAAATGAATATTTCCGATAAAAATCATGTTCACCTCTTTTGCTCACTCGAAAGCAGATATTTTGGAGCAAGTGAATAGTCTAACAGCGATTATTTGTAAACAATTATTTACCAAGAGCTCTAGTAAACTATTAGAGTCACTTGTGAAGCAAAGTTTGTTGACAGCTTGCTTAGTTAACGATACCATGCAGAGAGAACAATGAGGATCAAAATGCTGTTCATCAATTGTATTAAGTTTTGATCAATCTTTGTAAAGAAATGAGATAGTTGGAAACTGTATGGCATGTAAAGAGCTGGAACGACAATAACCAGAGTTTTCTCAATAATTTTTGTTTTCAAGCTTTAGGAAATATAAGTTCAGTAAATAAATTCCGATTATAAGACGTATGAATAGTTATAGCATATTGGACAAATGCGACCACCATCGTTGCATCCATCTCTTTCATGCCGGATGAAACAAGCGTTGTATTCTCTTAGCTCAGTAGAACTCGCATAGTAAAGGATTTATTACGACAAAAGATATATTCAAAAGTATCCCATAATAAAAAAATATGTAGCGTTTGATTTTCATCTAAAAGAATATCATGCTTAATGAATAATTACTATCGAGTTTGTGTGTAACAGATTCTATGGCGATGCGTTTTTGGTTTTCTAAATCAAAGGAAACAGTTGTTGCGTGCCGGAATAGATAAATTGTTTCACTCATTTTTAAAGAAAATAAAAACCGAAAATTTATCGAAAGCTTGCATCTTATTATAAATGTAGTGATCATAAAAACTAGCTCAACTGGATATATGTTAGCTCATGCAATTATAGATCGTAAACATAGAATTTCGAAACAATTAGAAAATAAAATCGGATGACTAACCTAGTATTTTGTAAACTTGCTTAAAAATCGAATCTGTCAAGTCAATGCAAAAATAAAGCAGTAAAGGTCTATCAAAATTATCTAAAAAATTTATCGTTTTTTGATAATTCTCCTTACTCATATCTAGACAATGTGATCCATCTGAGAATGTGCTAGATCTTAAGCGGCTACTGCTTTTCACCTTCCTTTTACTTCTTGCTTTCTGTTCTCCTTGGAGTAGAACTCTTCCGCAATCATTAGGAAAACAAAAATTATTATCACCATAATGGTTAAGAACGTCAAAAATCTGAAATCTATTCACGCTTTGTTTTAAGCATCCAGCAGAAACATATAAGCGTACTAGCAACAACCCGTGCATACTGTACGGCTGCTCTCATCTCATTTAACGTATGACCTCAAAACTTTGACCTGTCATCCGATAAGACTATGCCGACTCTTGATATTATGTTCATAGATAGTTCTACGGCCTCATAGTCTTATATCGCACAATTTCTTATAGAGCATGTCGCTTCCAGCTTTATAGCCTTATAACCTCACTTTAAGAACCTATGGGAATCTGTGTATCATAGATCTTGAGGACCTAGGGATACTTCTTTATACTACCTCTTGAGAACATTTGGGTAATCCTATATAAGCGTGCTGAGACTCGCTTTCTTATAGAGGTAGTTGACCTTTCACCACTAACCTCGAAATCTAATTGGTCAGCAAACTGACCAATGGGACAGGGACCAGCCGTGGCACTTAACATTATTATATAGATTACGTTAAACTCATTGCCCTTATCAATATCCTCAAATATCGCCTCATCAGATATCTTCACGACTTTACTCTCAATAGTACACCGGAATTCGCGAATTTTCAAGCGGTTTGTATAACGATTTGCGATTTCCGAGAAAAAACGCTTCTTTTAGAGTGAATGGGTTTGTGTTCTGATAACTCTCGATCACATACTAATGCTTGCAATACTACTGATGTATATAGTAGATAATGTTCAACTTTATACACATCATTCTGGTCATTATAAAGGCTGCTGTCGTCTTTTAAGTATATATACTCGTAAAGCATGAATCGATATTCATTTACCTAATTGAGTGTCTTTTTGGATAAGTTGTTCTTTAAGTCGTTTAATTTCGTTCTGTTGTTCGTTTATTTGAGGGATCTGCCGAGTTACCTGATCTTTCAGTTGTTGATATTCTGTAATTAACTCGGTGATAGCAGGCTTAACTTTGTCAATTGATGCAAACTGACAAACAAGTAAGTGTTGATTGAGCTGATCACGCTGTCCTGTCCATGTACAATTAACATCTGCTGCTGAACAGGATACAACTGTCTTTGGACACACTTTCTGAATGTGATCATCAAAATTTCCTCGCCATAAGTCATCTTGTCCACAAACTATGCATTTGACTGGAATTCGATCAAGCATATTGCGAACATTACGTGAAGGTTGCGTAAGAACGTCGATAGACAGATCCTTTCGACAAATAGGACAAGAAACATTTGGTGTCTGAATCCACTTCGTAATACATTCACGACAAAACGTTTCACCACATGGAGTACAACATGGATCTTCCAAAGGTGAATGACAAATAGTGCAAATCAATTCTGGGTCGGTAGACGCTTCGTTCATATACTCGTATTTAGTGGTCATTCTTAAGGATTCTTTGTTTATATTTATCTAAAATAGAATTAGTACTGGTCAAACATTAAAGTATTATTATATACATTTAAAATCGTTATCATTAATTCCTTTTTTTCTCCTTTGGTCGGCCAATTTCTTCCTAATGTATTCTTTTGACTTTCATGGTTCCCTTGTCGACTACTCTAGTCCCAAGGGAAGAAATCTAGTCAAATCCTGTGAATTCTCAACTAAAAATCACTGAAAAAAAGAAGAATGTATACAAACCACATAATCCATGGAACTCACGGAATTGTCTGTGTATTTGTATGAGTCTTCACGCTTAGTATCTCGAGAAAAAGCATATGCGTCGAACTCGAAAGTTGAATTCAACTCTTCAACTATTCGATATCGAAGATGAGGGAGAAGAGAAGAGTGAAAGGACTCGACTCTATATGAGATTGGTGGCATAAATAATAATGAGGATGACTCACAAAGGATAATTGAATCGTTGAATTTAACTTTCGAGTTTGACACTACTGCCTTGGTCCAGAAGGAATTTAATTTCCGGAGAATATTAAATGATGAAACATATATACTACAATATGTCTAAATAAGTATAAGGGGCACACGCGGTATAAAAGTATACCAAATTCATCAAGAGAGACGTCGTGCACATGTTTTCTGCATGTCCTCACAATGTCAATGATTAGGTTTAAACAATGGCATCACTCCAACGAATATACAAGCGAACAAAGCTAATTCAGTCAGACGTCACTGCTTAATCTTTACTCGGAATAAAACTCACCTGCACACTGTGCGCAAAAAAAGGTAAATGAAAAATTCATTATGTATAGAAAAGAGAAGAAAAAATGTCGAAAAAAATACAATCCCTGAAGTCTTATAAATGCAGATTGTCCACACAAACTTTTTCTGTAGGCGGCGAGGATGACGGTGCGCTGAGATTGCGGGTATAAGAGTAGATGAGGGTGAGATGAACAACCACAAAACAGTGTGTGGGTGTATGCATTTCATTTATTCCATACACCCACCCACACTGACATCCTCACCCTCAAGATTTTTTGCGGCCTTATTGATTTAAATTGTAACTTGGCGATAAATATGAACTCGTTAATGAGTGTGGTGATTTGAATGACAACAGAGATTACAGTATCGGTTTGTATAGGCAGCAACTTGTTTTTTTCTCGATTTTTCTGCGACTAACAATGTTTGTATTATTTTGTTGATGTAAAAAGGCAACCTCGCCACATAGTTACTATTGAGAACGCGGTTGTGAAATATAAAAAAGAAAGAAAGGAAGACAAACAAAAAGCATTTATTAACAGAACTCGAACAAGCAAAATGCAAAGAAGCCATCTGCTGGCATTTTAATTGGTTGTTTTCTGGATATGGGTGTGCGTGTTGGTGTGGGTGAAGGTATCTGGTGATGGTCTCTTCTTCAATCGCGCCGCATACACACCTACCCTCAAGAATCCATGGGCCCAAATCTTTTTGGGGTTAAGCAAGTATAGAGATGCCTTCGATATGCTGAGAATATCAGAAATTAAGCGGTGAATCACTTCGAACGATTCTCTGATTAGTATGGGCATGTTTGAAGGTTTAAATGTGTGATTTTAGGTCTCAAATAATGGGCTCCTCAAAACAGTATAGAGTTTGGAAACCTAACATTTCCCATTGAATAGGGTGGATCATGGTTCCTGTGCAATGACTCTTTAAAAGTATTTTACTACAGATGTTGACTCGTCAAAAGTCTGCTGTGCCTCTGATACGGTTTACTAAGATTGAGCACTGAGCATTAATATGGGAAACAAGTTTCTTTGCATTCATATCTCGTTTCTAGAGATTTCGACTATTGAGGAACTTAATTTTATCAAGAACGGTCACCTAACTCTTCACTCTGTCTCCCAGATTCTATCTTAAATGTGTGATAAAAAAAACTATTTTTCTTATGTGTAGAGCTGCTTTTTTTATATAGTAGATGTGAAAAAATGGAAGCGATTGTTGATCTTTCTTCGATGAAGCGAGAACAATTGTTTTCTTCTTTTACTGCTGCAATCTAATGTAGTAGAATTGTGTAAAGAGAAAAACAACTGCGGCGTCTTTAAAAAGACGAGAGAGTGAGAACTTACCCTACAAAAAGAAAAAAGAATTCTATAACGGGAAGAGGAGAGAAAATTCTAAGCAAACAAAATAATAGACAAGAGGGAAAAATCCATAAAGGGAAGAGGAGTGGGAAAACTCATTATTCTTAGAAGCTAAAAACACAAACTGCTAAGAGGCAATGAAAGTGTGTCGTTCTCCAATTCCGTATCGGACTTTTTCTGTGCTAATCAGAGTAACCGATGGTGTCGATGTGGATGTCTCTAATAAAAATGATTTGAATAAATTTACTGAACAATGGACTGCATTATTAGAAACTAAAATTGATGCTGATATTAGAACAAAATTAGTTGAACCAATTTTAAATCAACGTGCTAATCAATTATTAAGAAAAAATGGTAAAACTGCACAAAAATATCATCAACATCATAAAGATAATTTATTATGGAAAAAATTTCAAGAAAATAAAAAACAACACAAGGAAAATTTATCAAAAAATCCAAATTTAGTTACAAGTATTGTTGAAGAAGGTGGATCAATGGATATGATTTGTATTCATGCAATAGCAAATGTATTAAAAACATCAATTAAAATAAATAATGTTGACGGAACATTTTTTCCTGATTTAATTTGTCCAGATGATTGGGATAAGAATAATATTGATAATAGTTATTTAATACATGCAATTATGGAAACAAAAGGCGATGATATCAGTTCATCTGATTTGAATAAGATTCGAAAAGCAATTGCAAATCAAATTAGAACTAATCAACAGATTGGAAATATAATTGAAAATGGTTATCATCGTTATTATATATCGCAAGTTGATTTTGGCAATAAAAAACTATCCCCTGTTCAGGAATTGAGAAATTTACCATTTGACGAAAATTTTAATAATGATCATATAATAGGATTAGTTGGCGTACATGGCAATGGATATTCTTATGGAATAAAATGTCTTTCTAAACAGAAAATACGTGAATCAGAACATCTTATTCCAGATGCATTAGTTAAACGACTATGTAAAGTAATGTGTATTAGATATATAATAGAAACTAAACATGCAGAAGCAGTGGAAAATCAACAAAAAGAAAAGGAATTATTTGATAATTATATGAAAAATGGTGTATCCAAAACTGAATTAGACAAATTTATGGTAGCAACTAAAGATATGTTAACAATTTGTATACCTTATTTAGATCATCATAATAAAAAACGAACTTGGTCTAGTTTTAAAAGTATATATCCCAATCAATGGGCAGAAGCAGAAGGCTACATTGATTCTTATAAAAGTATTGATGATAATAAAAATGATCTACTATTTCATTTAGTAATGAAACAATACGAACATTTATTAAACAATAAGTCATTTCCAAAAATTAGACAAGGTTTTGCTAAATATTTTGAATTAAGTGAATTACGTGGTTTTATTAATTCCGATCAAAGACATCAATTAATGAATAAATATGGATTGTCACATATTTCAGACACTAAACAAGTGAATCAACTACCAATCGATCATAAATATTATCATATTTACAATGATGTGTATCAGAAAAGTTTGTCAATGACACCAATTAACAATCGACCAAAAAGATATACAGGCTAGTTATTATAACAATACCATACTATCTTGAGGGTGGGTGTGGGTATATATGATAGATTTGTCTTCATCCATATCCACACCCACACTCATTTATTTAGTTTTCAATCAAAATAAACAAAAAATTTTAATCATTCATTTCATCATCAATCTCAACAAATATAATTCAAATCAATTTCAAATTTTTGTATTCGATCATTGCTAGAATCGACAACATAGAGATTACCTTGAACGTCGAATGATAAATCTGTGGGACGATTCAACTGATTTGATTGTTCTCCTTTTCCATTTCCACCAACAACAATACTACCTTCGCAAGATCCTTCACACCAACGCATTACTCGATGATTGCTCCAGTCAGCGACATAAACACTACCCAAATGGTCAATAATCACCCCTTGAGGATTACACAATTGTGTCAAACTATTCCCATGCCCTTTTCCACCAGCAACAACAATACCTTCTTTTGCACTTTCCATCCATTTCATCACACGATGGTTTCCAGAATCCGATACATAAACTGAGTGATTTTCATCAACGAAGATATAAGTAGGCCAATTGAGTTGATTGAGATGATTTCCGTATCCATTTCCACCTGCTACGATTGTTCCTTCGCTCTCTCCTTGTTTCCATCGTCTCACTTCATTCTTCTTCCAATCAGAGACATAAAGATCTCCATTTTTACCCATTGTTAAAGTATCACAGTGAATATCGGAAATGATTGTTTCTCCATTTTTACCATTTTGACGAGGCCATTGTACCACTTGTCTGTTGTCTCGATCACAAATGATGAGAGAATCATTCTTTTCATCAACAATCACATCTGTTGGACCATTCAATTGATTACTTTGATCCCCATTTCCTTTTCCACCTGCAACAACTTGACCATTCTTTGCTTCATATTTCCATTTAACAATACGATGATTCGAACAATCGGCAACATAAATAGTTTGATGATCATCATCAACATAGATACCCTGAGGAAGAGAGAGTTGATTTAATTGATTGCCTCGTCCATTTCCTCCAGCAATAGTAATTCCATATTGTTTCCATTTGGTGTCGATATTAATATGATTGAGAAGAACTGATTGTTCTAAAAGAAAAAAGATTTGATTTATAGTTGAATAAAATTGATGAATAAATGCGAATAAAAAAAGTATTATCTTAAAATGTAATAAAATAAAAATGATTTTAATTTAATTTAGTTTAAAATTTATTTAATAAAATTGTTTTTATATTTGAAAAGAAAATTTGATTAATTTCATCTGAATGAGTTTGTTTATTTTTGAAGGTGTGGGTGATAGGTAAA